ATGGGTTTATTGTCAGATTTTCATTGAGGATGGAATGATTTTAAACTTGCATGCCAAGTTGTTTTTTTGTTTTCTGTTTTTTGTTTTAAGATTTATTTATTTGTACATACAGAACTGGGGTACAGGCCAGAGACTCAGGGGTGGTGAGAGGCTTCACTAGTGACAGAGCGGGGAGCAGAACAGGCAGATAGATGAAGTACACTGCTGAGGGAAGCAATGGGAGACCTCAGGAGAGGTCTGCTGAGCCATGTGGATCTCCTCCGGGGCAGGCAGGAATCGAACTCGCGGAAGTGGCTTTAGCTTCTCAGTGCAGTGCTTTAAGCCGCTGTGCCATCAGGGAGGGCCGCATACCAAGTTTTATAAAAGAAAATTTGTCAGTTTTCCAGTTACCTTTTTACTTATCCACTTGTATTTTATTTTCAAGGTATTTCTGTTCATTTTAGAATTTAAAGGTATAATTATTGTTTAATAAAATTATAACTTAATAAAAACTAATTTGAAAGGACATACATACACTCTACATGATTACAGCACTCTTTACAATAGTCGAGTTGAGAATGGGTATAGGGGTAGAATGATGTGTCAGTAGTGATATGGTATGGTAATATAAATCTGAAGAGGTGTACACATATATTCCTATACCATATACAGTTATGTAAACCATACAAACTCATAACAAATATTACGATTTAGGAAAAGTATAACTTAAAGTAAGGACAAGTTAAAAAATAGGTCTAATATTCCATGTGTTGGAGAAAAAAAAGTGATACTTCTATTTGACCACTAGAGGGAGGAGACCTACTTCTTTTGTAGGTAAACTTTAACTTTCTAGTTTTAATGCTACCGCAATTCCCACTATTCTACAGAAGTGTTAACTTCCAGTAATTCTTCAGTGAAATAAGGAATTTGGTTTTTACATTTCAGCCACATATTCCGATAGTGGAAATATTCAGTCTTTGAATCATGATGTCAAAAAGTTCTTGTATTGCATATTAGAGATTCTTTGTTGCTTTTCAGCTCTTATAATTTTCAATAACTCATTGAAGTTCTTATACATATACAAATGCCTTTTCAATAAAATAATAAGCCCATTATAAATTGTTTATATTTATACAGCTCTGTACCTCAGCAGCAAATTAAATTACTATTGCAATTACTTAAACTGTTATTATTGATAGCTTTGTTGTGGGTGCAGAACTCATCTGCGCACAATTCCAGGGTTCCAGGCAAGCCCTGTCCCTCTAAGCAGAATAAACAAATCTGTGAGTTCTAGGCCAGGTGCAGTCTGGCGATGTGCTTCTCTATGATTGAAAAATGGGAGATTTCACACAAAATTCAGTTATCCACATTTTCTAGAAGCCTGGTATCAGCCGCCCTCCCCGAAACCTCCCTCTCCCGCTGTGAGCACAGCCCGCTTTGCCATTCTGCATTCAGCCAAGTCCACACACCTATTTCCATGGACTGTCTATTAATGTGCCCTGTGAATGATGCTTTCAGGGTTGTGATTTGCACCCCACTTTGCCAGGGGGCACCTCTAGATGTGACCCCTACTCTAAGCATTTCTCCAAAACTCAGCTCAAAATTCAGCACCAAACCTTGGTGATTGCCTTACCCTCAATGGTAACTCTAAAGCATTTCCCTATATGTTTACCCATCATTTATCTGTTTAAAAGAAATATTTCTGAATTTATGTATTGTGACCACTTTTCAAAAGTTAGAACTTTGTCTTATTGAACCTTGATACACTAAGATTTTGCTTTTCTTCATCTTGACTCAACTTGACTATGGAACTCAGTCTCCCAAAGGCATGTAATGACATGGCTAATATAAGCAAAAAAAAATGAACTTGCTAGATTCATTTTGAATACATACACCTCCGGCCTGACACCTGCAAGACACTAATCCTAGTTGCCAGAAAGAAGCTACAAGTAATTGCCTTTGTGGAAGCTGGCTTGTCAGCACCCCCATTCTTTCATCCATCAAAATGTTCCCTTCTATATCCTTCTCCAGAGGGCTAGTGTCATCAGTGTTACCTTGGGTAAAACCTGGCATATGCTCCACATGGTTCCAGTAGAGACAGGTCTGCCTGGATGTAAGTAGGGAATGTCAGACATCCATGGAACAGGCTTCTCTAGCCTTCTCAATCTCCCCCCTCCCACCATCTCTGTTTCCAAAGCAACAGAGTTTGGTGACCACATCCCGTGTCTGCTCACAGCCAGAAAGCTTTACTTCCAATTTCCAGGCCAGAGAAACAAACCCAGTAGATTACTTTGTTGATGACACAGTGCTCTTTCTGACAGTCCCCGTATCTCAGCCCTTCTGTGCAATGCAGACTCATTCCCTTTACAGTCAAACATCTAGCATTTCCCATTCTTCTCAAGCGTCTTCCACAAACTCAAACTTCTACAGGTGTGAGGCAGATAAAACCTAAATGACAAGAGTAGAACAGTCCTGAAGGGAAAGAAAACACTCCATCCATTGTAATCCAAAGTAGAAATGCAAACTCAGTGTTGCTAAGAGTGATTTCTCAAGAAAAGAGTAATAAAAGAGCAACACACCACCAGGTATATAATAATGAGTCATGAGGATGTAACTTACAGCACCGTGACCAAGCCGATACCATTGCATGGCATGGACAGACCTCATTTTATTGCATTTTACTTTGTGTGTTGCGCATTCTGCATTTTGTTTGTTTGTTTTTTCCTAAATATTTATTTTGTGGAAGAACTGGGGTGTAGGCCAGCAGCATGGGAGTATGAGGTTTCGCCAGAGACAGTGGAGAGCAGAACAAGTAGATTGAATGAAATATACTCAGGGGAGCAGCAGCAAAAGGAGAGGTTTGCAGGTTTGCTGCACAATATGTGGCCTGGGCTACATGGTCTGGGATCAAACTCAGGCCCTACTAGTGATAGCACAGGAACTTAAACCCTAAGCCATCAGGGAGCCCAGGTACAAGACCCCTACCAGCAAAAAGATCACGACTTGCTGAAGTCTCAGATGATGATTAGCAATTTCTTTTAATAAAGTATTATTTAATCAAGTTATGTACTTTTTTTTAAGACATACTAACTTTCCTATCCACCAGGAAACCAAATAGTTCATGATTCTCCTTTTTCAGGTATTTGTTTTATTATGGTCACACGGAACTGAGCCCACAATATTTCCTGGCTGTGACTGTGTGTGAAAGTTGCCAAAGTCACATCCTACCTACACACATACTGAAGGAAACGATAACAGTTGGTAGCAAGAATTATCATCGTCATCACTTCAGTCAGTGTGTCCAAATACCAGATTATGTTGTACTTGAACATGGTGTAATATATTTCAGTTATACCTCAACTAAATATGTTTAATTTGGGAATATTAGGTGAGCCACAGTAAACATTGCCATGCATATGATGTGACCTATGAATCTCCAGTTTTTAAATTCTTGCTAGGGAAAAATCCACACAGCCTCTTCCCTTTGACTAATGATTTCAGGGGGAATTTCTGTGCCTCCCTCCTAGATTTCTGGCCACGGTTGCAAGGTGTGTCTCTTCCAGTCCATCTCATCAGCGTGATTTGGCGAGGGGCAGTAAGCAGGGAGGATTTGTTGAATTAAAATAAGTGATTTAATTACTTAAAACCGTGTTGGAAATTGAATTTGAAAGGTGCTCTGGCAGACAGATTAAAAGTGATCTGTGACAATCAGTGTCATTTTCACTCTTACTCTCCTTACTGAAATGTAATCATTTGATAATCTGCTCTCTGTAATGACATGGCAAAATGTCACAACATTGGGTTCCATATGACTCGTTATGCCTTTATGGGTATGCACACACACACACATGCATGTATGTATATGCATGTACACATACGTGTATGTAAACACACATATAGTGTGTATATGTATATATTAATGCACTACAAAGTAGAACATTGGGATAGTCTCATTGTTGTTAAAAACTGCATTACACTCATACGGCAATTTCAAAAGAAGTTTATGAGCCAAATTATTTTATAACAGTCAATATTTACTCTACAAACGTTTATTCTCTATAGGGCATAGTAGACTAGTTGCCTCAGGGGACAGGGTGGAGAAGGCATAAGTTTCAGTGCATTACAAGTATTACTTACTAAAGCTTAAATGATTTAACACACATAGTTACTCTGTGCCCTTTGTAAGCCTCTTACAAATATGAATGTATTTGATCCCTTAAACAGCCTTATCATATAGATGATATTGTATCCTCATCTATGAAAAGTAACATGAGGCACAGAGCTAAGTGACCCCACCCACAGAGCTAAGTGACCCCACCCAGCTGTGTGACCTCACACAGCTTATCAGTGGCAGGGCCAGAATATTGGACTCAGGCAAGAGGCAAGTCTTACCTCCAAATCTGTGCTCATAACTGCTGTATCTGTTAGCTGCTGTTGCATCACCACCACAGGTGTCATGGCTGACAGCGTCATGTTTGCATCGCTGCTCAAAGTCATTCAGGCAGCTGGGTGGTTGCGCTGATCTGGCCCACAGACAGCTCCGCCCAGCAGAACCCACTGGGGGAAGGGAGGAAAAAGCCTGGTTTGGGGCACACCTTCCTCACTGCCTCAGCTCCCTGCTCACCCTCCACCTTAATAGCCAGGGTCTGAGAAAGAAAGGGAGAACTCACAAGTGCCTTTTCAATCCCCTGGGCATCAAGTTGGCTGCTTCATCATTGACCAAAGTGAATCACATGGTACTACAGCCCACAGCCAGTGCAGTTGGCACTTCCAAAGGGTGTGGACATGGGCACATGTAAAGTGGGTGCCCTCTGCAATCATGGTTCAGCATCCTGGTGTTTATACCCTGCTTTCCAGACAGTTTCAAATGTGATCTTTCAGACTCCAAATGAGTGGTGAAACAGGTATCAAGTGTAGCCCATTGGTTTAGGAAAGTAAGTAAAGAGTGGTCAGAAAAATGAATGGTCAGTAAAGAGTGGTCAGAAAAATGTGGAAAAATGAAACGATGCTTGTGATTTTAGGCTGAACCTGGAGAAACACCATCAGAGATTCCAAGCGAAGCCAGGACAGCCCCAGCAGAAAACGGAGTGAATCACACTACGTCCTTGACTCCCAAACCACCCTCCCAGGCGCTCCACAGCCAGCCTCCTCCAGGTAAACCCTGAGAAGCGCTGCACAGCAAGACTGAATCCAGGTTCTTTGTCCCACTGAAGAAAGTGGTATGATTTAGCTAGCTAAAGAATCCTGCAAGTGAGGATGCATCGACTTAGGGGGAGCTCCAGAAGTGGGACTTGTAGAAAAGGAGGGAAGGGAGAGAGAAGAGGGCAGGAATTCCAAAGGAGACTTGTAAGTGCTCATCCAGCCCTGCTGATAACTTACAAAGCCACAGCAAAATATCTCCAAGATTACTCGTGTCTTTACTTAGTGATAGTTTATGATTGATTAATACTTACTGGCAGAGTTCTTCGAGCAACTTATAAATGTCTGTGCTTTTAAAAGCACATTCTTAGTTCTACCTAAATCTCTGCAAAGAATTCCATTCCCCTTTTCCCAACTTGTCCATAACCGCGAGTGTCTATGTGTGCTAAGTGCTCTTCTAAGCCCTTCGTGGGGAATATCTCATTTCACCTTCATCCCAGACCTTGAAGAGGAGATGCTGTTATTGTCCCCACCGGGCAGATGAAAAACTCAACAAGTGCAGTTTTGAGACAATGAAGTACTAATTGAAGGTCGCATAAAGCGTAAAACCAGGGCTAATCCAGTGCTAGTCTGGTGTCCCACCTTAGAAAAACCCTTTGATTTTTGTGAAGCGAATTTCCATTCAGACACTTTGTCTAATACTGCCTTAGTGACCACACCTGATGGGAGAAAATGTGTCTTGTGCAAAAAGAACCAAGGATGTTATTTAAACATCCTTTTTTTAAAAAGTTGTGGCAAATTTAAAAAAAATAAGTAAAAATTGCCTTAAGTATAATTAGCTCACATGCATGTCTCTTTCCTCCAACAGAGGGCTTCCCAGTACAGGTTTCATTTCTGTTTCTTTTATAGAGAACTCATAAATAGTACACACTTTTCCTTTTTGTTGAATTGGATAATAAAGCAAACATAAGGAAAAATAATTTCCTTCATGAAATTGTGGCTTCATGTCACCTGCCTTCCTTGCCACACTCCCATATGTCAGGGATAAAATCAGACCTTTGGTTTGCAAGGAAAGGGGTGTTTCTTCTGGGCAAGAGAAAGTTTTTTTAAAAGAACAAATTACATTTATTCTTTTAAGTTTTATTTTATGTATATATACATACAAGAACTAGGGTGCAGGCCAGAGGCATGGCAGGTGAGAGGATTCACCAGAGACAGAGTGGGGAGCAGAACAGGCAGATGGGCTGAAATACACTGCTGAGGGAAACAGCAGACAAGACAGGAGAGGTCTGCTGCACCATGTGGGTCAGCTACCTGGCCGGGGATCAAACTCAGTGCTGTAGTGGTTGGCAGTAGCTTGATAGTGCACTTAACCCCTTCTGCCACCAGAGAGACCTAGAAAAAAAAATGTTTAATTACTATCAAATGTGCATGTGTCAGAGCCTATGCTTTTAAGAAGCTTATTGAGATAAGTAATAATAAGGAGAGGCCTTGATCTTAAAAACAAAGTGATATGTGATATTTTTTAATTGAAGATTTCTGTTCCTAACACACGCATTTTGAGTGCTTATGGATTGTAAGTGTCATTTAAATATGTAACTATAGTCTTGTACTTCTAAAAGTAAAAGAGCAATAAACATTTGAATTTTTTTGACCTTGCTATTTTGAAGTAATATGATGATTTACAAAATCATTTTTTAAATGGCCCAGAATGTAGATATGTTCTCCTTGTCCTCTAAAAGTTGACATCAGAATTACAATGCAATTATCAGACCAGGAAATTAGCATTGGCACAACACTCGGAACTTAACTACAGGCCTTGTTTGGACATGACCTGATTTCCACTTATGTCCATTTATTGCCACACATTCCTATTCCTGATTACCCCCATTGTATTTAATTGCCATGTCTCCTTAATCTCTTTTGCTCTGTGATAGCCCCACATCTATCCTGTCTTTTATGACCTTGATGTAGAGTACTGATCTGTTATTTTGCAGAATGCCTCTCAGTGTGGGTTGGCCTGATGTTGTCTCATGATCACATTTAAGTTTTGGGAAAGAACAGCACAGAAACATGCACTCTTCTCAGTGCATCATATCAGAGGATGTGATATTGTTAAGTCTCATCATTGCTGATGTTGAATCTCTTGGTTAAGGTGGTGTTTGCACTAAGAAGACTTTCCCCTTTGTAGTTACTAGGTATCTTGAGGGAGATACTTGGAAACTATGCAAAAATCCTCTTTCCCCTGAACCCTTTGCCCAATGATTTCTGGCATCCACTACTGGACCTTGCCTCCTACAGGTATTACTGGCTACTGGTCAGTATTTGAATTTTTTTAAGATTTATTTTATTTTATTGATTTATTTATGCATATGAGAGCCTAGGTGTAGACCAGAAGTGGGGGGCAGTGAGAGGATTCACCAGAGACAGAGCAGGGAGCAGAACAGTCAGATCCACGGAAAAACACTGCTGGTGGAAGCAGAAGACGAGACAGGAGAGGTCTGCTGGGCCATGTGGGTCAGCTTCCTGGCCTGGAATCAAACTCCTCCACAGAGGCTGCTGATAGCTTGATAGGGCTGAGACTTTAACCCCTGTGCCCCCAGGGAGGCTCAGCATTTGATTTTTAAAATCCACTTGTTATACCCAATTTTGCCAAAAGGTGGCAATAGCATTGCTTATACTGTATTTGCTGATTTTGAGTCAAAGCACTATCCTCTCTACAAATGAACCACCTTGTTTCACTTTTAATAAAGTTTGCCCCAAAGTTGTAAAATAAAGAGAGAACAATTTTCTTCTAGAAGTTGTCTTTTCCTCATAAAATGACTTAGATTCAGGGACCAAATATTGTTCTAAAGAAAGAAAAAAAAAAACATAAACAAGCTAAAAGACACTGTTTTATCTTTTTATTTCAGGTTCTGTAAAGGCACCTGCCAAAACCGAAGATCTTATTCAGAGTGTTTTAACAGGTAAATACCATTCTTTCCCCAACATACGAACAAAATTAAGACAGCTGAATATTACCAACTGTAGGAGCTTTCCATTCATCTCCAATAATCCATTGATACTTCTCTAAAAAAAAAACTACAGACACTACCAGTTTAAGCCACTTTATACAACATGTAATCACAGAGAAGTAACTATACTTAGATAGGACCTTATTGCTATAAAAATAACAAGCTCACCAAGATACCTATTTTAAAATCAAAGAACAATTTCACACTGGAAATGTGACCTATGGAACAGGAAAGTATGGCTCCCCAAAGTGCCAGCAATAAACTATATTTTTAAAATGAAGATCTGTGCCTATAGAGCACAGATCCTTGAGAACTAGAATATAGTCTGAAAAAAATAGTACTTGCTTAGTACCATAAACTAATGGGACTAAAGGTGCTACAATCTTTCTTCAACACAATTAACAGGTTGTTTTGGAGTCTTAAAAAATGTTTATGAATATTTAGCCCAATATACAACAGAAATGCTTGCATACATTCATCAAAAGTAGCACTAAAAGCCCAAAAGTGGAAGCATCCCAGATAACAGGAGAGTGTATAAATAACTTGTGGTATAGTCACAGAATAAGATAGGGTGCAGCTGTAGAAATAAACTACAAATGCACAAAACATGGCTACAATTCATAAGCATAATGTTAAACAATAGGAGCCAGCCTCATTTTAAAAAAATCATTTTTTATGATTCCATCTGCATGAAGTTCAAAAAGAGGCAAAGCTAACTCATGCCTTTAGCAAAGCTAATTTGGGTTATATTTGATTTTGTACAGGAACTCAAAGGGGGGCTTCTGTCATGCTGGTAACATGATTTTCAGTGAGGGCTGGTTGTGGAAACATACGCACTGTGTAAACATTTACAGGGACATAGCTCAATGATTTATGTGCCGTTATGCATGTAATTATACTTCACCAAAATACTATATAAATATGCATAGGCAAATACACTTGAAGAATGTATTAAAATAAAGCTAAACATATTTTTAAAGATTTAATTCCATTGAAAGCAATATACTAATACAAGAGACAGACTATAAATAGAGCCCCAATTTCAGTGTTATTTTAAAATATACAAATACATATACCAACAGCAATGGATGGTGCCACTGCCTTACCAGTCTCTCAGATGACTTGCTGATGAGTGATATTTCTTTATATAAATGCACTTTACCTTTCTGCTTAAGAGCAGATTCAAAAAATTGTCTTTATCCGCAGACTTTGTTTAAAAAAAATTACTTTCTGTGGATTGTTTTTTTTTTATGGTTAAATCATCCATAAATTTAATTTGAATATATTGTCTCCAGCTGGATTTTAAAAGTTAATTATAGATATGTTTTACTTTCACTTTAGAGGCTTTTCTTTACAGTTTTAATGTTGTTTAAAATCAGCTGATATTATTCTCGTAATGTGATTCAATAGTTGACTTGTTTGAGTAGAGTTTTAAGAATATGTTGTATATTTTTTTATAACAGTTTATTTTTTACATCATTTTGTACATTTTTTTTGCCAATCTCAGTTGTAATCCCCACGGGTTTCCCATCACCAAGTCACCTGTGTTCCATCACCATAATCCCGTGCACTTCCCTCCCCACCCAACCCCCGTTTTTGATCCCTTTCCCCCCTCCACCCCCACAAAATGTCTCTGGTATATGTCTCTGGTATTATTCTTATTATTTTCTCACTTGGTCCATTATACTCCTGCTATGAGCGAAGCCACCTGGTATTTTTCTTTCTCTTTCTGGCTTATCTCACTAAACATGATCTTTTCCAGCTCCATCCAAGTTGCTGCGAAAGACATGTGTTTCTCTTTTTTGGTTGCTGAGTAATATTCCATTGTATATATGTACCTCTGTGGTTTGTTTTTAATAATAGGTTAGAACATCTTGAACCCTATTGCTAAATTTCCTGTAACTGATATGATTGCACACACATTTTTAAAGAAGTGAGATTAAATGTCACCACAAATGCAACAATTCCTTAAGATTGTAAATTCTTAATGTAATAAGTTATTATGCAACCATAATGAGTCTTTTTGAGCCTGAGAGAAACCATTAAATAAATGTACCAGATGCTCTCCCTGTCCTCTTTCTCAAAGAAATTTAATATGAGGGGAATTGACACATTATGAAAAAAAAGAAAAGGATATTTCGATTGTATGAAGACCTTAGTATTAAGGAACATAAATTACTTTCTGATTTATATGTTTATCCATTAGATATCTCATTTTTCTCTTCAGGTCAATTGTTATTCATGGCATCTATTATTTCTAGATCTTTTGATAGTTCTGAATACCTACCATAACATATTTTTGTTCCCAGAAGCAGAAAGTTTGCATCAAAGGACAGAAGCATATGAACTATGACTTCATCTATGTCCAAGTAAATGATAACTCACTAAGTGGAGACATCACTATTTTAAGGTGTCCCACTATTCATGAGTTGCTAAAAAAAAAAGAAAAACCTGGACAGACTTTGACATTCCATTGACAATCTGGTGCATCTTAATTTCAGAATTATTATCATAGTTTAAAAATGCATATTTTAGAATCAGTGAAATGAGTCAGTGAAATACAGAATACTTTATGGTCAAGCTTGTTAGTTTAAAAATTGTCTTAGAAATGGATAGAATTCTATGCAGAAAAGTGACCGGCCAATGACCCTGTGATACTTGTGTGCAAATCACAAGGGACCATCTCTCACTTTACTGCTTTCTAGTGCAACACTGGGATAGTTACTCAAACCCTCACTGCCTTTCCTGTGACTCATGCCCCTTGGCGATGAGCCCTAGAAGCTGTACAGCTTGTGCAGCCTCTACACTCTGCTAGAAACTGCATTAGAAACTGCCTGAATACTTACATTTCATTCTCATAACTACCCTAAAATGGAGTAGGAATATCATACTTAAAGTGATTCTGTTTGTATCCACCCATGTCCCCTTTGCCATCCGGGCACCCACCTGTCAGCTCTGGTGAGTGCTGGCTGCTGAAGCTCACGGAGAGCCTTCCAGTTTCTTGGCAGTGACCAGCAGCTAAAACGAATCTCCCTCCCTCTCCTGGAGTTTATACCTCTCCCATGCCCTCTCCCTGTCTTTACCAAATATTGAACACACTGACCATCTTGGCTCTAGATAAGACAAACTTGCAATTCAAGCTCCAGAGCTCCCTGAGGGATCAGATCAGGGCTATCTTCCTGCCCAGCTGCTGCCTCTCTGATGCCCTCACACCCTGCCCCCTAGAGGCCCCTCAGTCAGTCACGTGTATCTGCATCCCCTTCTCATTAACAACAAAACATACAATGAAGAAATTGAATTTTGGGGAAATTTGGTAACATAGTGGCAAGGTTCCCAAGTAAAAGAGCCAGACTAGAACACAGATTGATTTGACATCAAAGCTCTGCTCTTAACTCCAGTTGGCTAGAACCAGACAAATACTGCTAAATATGCAGGTTGCTGCTCCACTATACCTCTGTGTTTTCAGTCCTTCCATGTCTGTTAGCTTTTGTACTCATCTGTTGCAGAAGTGGAAGCACAGACTATTGAAGAGCTAAAGCAACAGAAATCGTTTGTGAAACTTCAAAAGAAGCACTACAAGGAAATGAAAGACCTAGTTAAGAGACACCACAAGAAAACCACAGACCTTATCAAAGAACACACTGCAAAATATAATGAGATTCAGAACGACTACTTGAGAAGGAGGGCAGCTTTGGAAAAGACAGCCAAGAAGGATAGTAAGAAAAAGTAAGTTGAATGAGTATCATTTGTTTTATTGAATGAAAGAAGAGAGGTGTTTGTATGGGTTCTTTGATATCTCGTGCCACATTTTGACCTGTATCTCACCCAAGTCTCCCCGTAGGTCTTGTGTTGGCTCCGTTTTGCTTATGGATTGAATGTCTTTGACTAAATTCTTACACTGAGCCTTGAGTTCGAGCCTGTGGGCCAAATATCAGTTGACCTACTTCCTATATTATAGCTGTCTACCTGATGGGCAGGGAGTATTGCCATGTACCTAGAAGCTAGTTGAAGAGACAGCTTGTCTTAGACAAAAAGGAAGTCTTGATTATCCTTTGATGTCCCGTGTTAAACTCAAAAAAGTCCTGCATAGGTAACTCTTGTGTTTGGTCTTAGTGGTCCTCACAACTCCATGTACCCCAATCTTAATGGAGAGAATATCTCACACATTCATTCAACCAGTATTTGTTGCCTAAGGTGTACCATGAGGACAGACCAGTGACCATGACCTAGAAATTATCACCTTCAAGTAGCTATAATGTGGGGAAGATGCACAATAAAAAAACAAATCAATAATCAACATAACATCATATTGTCATGGGGAAAAGCAAAGAAAGAAAGGCACAGAGTAATATAATAGAGAATGACTTGGGTTGGGAGAGCCCTTCTGACACATTGATCTGCAAAGACCTCATTGATGAGGTGACATAGGAAGAATAAAGCATAGTCGCCTATCAAACAATGGGGGAAATTTCTTCCTGCTAAAGGAGCAAGTTTAAAGGCCCTGAGACGGGGGGACAGGGGGGATGGGGGAGACTTGTTCTAAGAACAAAAAAGTTGGCAAACTGAGTGAAACAGTAAACCAGTAATAGAATAAAACAAGATGAGGTCAAATCACTAGGTAGGGGAATTAGATCACTAATTTCTGCTGCTGTGGAACAAAGGAGAAACAGTGGATAATTTATTGTAAGTGTGATAGTAGCCCACTGGAAAAAAAAATTAAGCAGTATTGACCCAGTGCTTCCTATTAATATTCTCATAGAATGATATTCACTGCTGTAATGAGGATGGATCCTTGGACAGTGTTGCTCACATAGACACTTAAGTCCCTGAAGATCTTGTTCAGTGTATTTTCTAATTCCTCAGGCACTGGGTGAGGCCTGAACTGCACCAGGTGATGTTGACTGGCTGGTCCCAGGTCCTCACTCTCAGGTGGGACAGTTTGTTACTAGTTCATTTCAGTATTGAAGACAGTTTGCTTTATGGTGATGGAAGCAGAGATGGAGCCAAAGCACTAGACCCTTGACCTGTATTAAAGGTCAAGTAGATACAGAGTCATCAACAAAGGTGAGAGAAGTCCAGTTCTTCAGACTTGTAATGCCCAGGAGGCTGCATGGAGAACAAACTCATGCTACCACTACAGGCTAAATCTGTTCCTGACACTCTAGTCTCTAGACCAGACCTATGCTTCTCAAATCTTAGCCCTCATAAGAATCACTTGGACAGTTGCTACAACACAGAGGTCTGGACCTTCACCCCAGAGTTTCAGGGACCCAAGGTTCTACATTTCTAACTAGCTCCCAAGTGATGCTGATGCTGACAGGCACTAACCCTAGAGTCTTTAAGGGGCTTCCCAGAAGCTGAAGATTGGCTTAAAGTCCTCCTTTGATCTAATCCCTGCTGTATGGGAAGGAGACAGTACTAGCATTCTCCCAGTGTTGGTGTCTCTGTGCCCTCAGTCTTTTTAGGATGCCAGCCATTGCATCAGGGCCCACCCTAATCCATTATGATCTCATCTTGAGTACATATGCCACAACCCTAATTCCAAATAAGGGCATAGACTGAGATTCCAGAAAGGACATGAAGTCTGGGGCAGGGGGAGGTTACAGGGGAGCACTATTCAATCCAGCGCATGCAGTAAACACTTACATGTACTGCTCCATGGATTCCCTCAAGCAGCCCTTTAAACTAGAAGCAAACATCACCCAAGTAAGGACCTGAGGCTCAGTGAGGCTGTGTGACTGGACTGGAGCATGCAACACAGGACATGAAATCATAGTAGAGTCACCATATCGCTCCACCTCCCCCACCACCTGCCGATGTCCCAGCTGCATCCTGGGACATGGTAGGGTGGAGCATACATCTCTGGAGTCCTGTCATGGCTTCTCAGATGTGATCCCTATAGCTCTGCAACGGACTTAGATGCTTTTTGAGTGTGCATTACAGAGTGATTACACCTGTGAAATAACACTGTCCAATTAAATTTGTTCACTATCCCAAATTTTATGCAATTTTTTTTTTTAGTTTAGACTCTAAACATCCCATGTCAACATCCCATATCAAGTATGAGCTTGTTGACAATGAACAGTATTTTGCAACACAAAGCTCTATGATCAAGTACTAATTTTTATATCAAAATCTTTTTCAGAGATTAACAAAGAAATACAAGCAAAATACAGTTATTTTTAAATTTGTTATAACTCCTTGAGGGTACAAACAATTCTTCTCTTCCTCAGGCTTATTTTGTCAATCATACAAAATGTTTTTTTAATTTTTATTGTTAGTTACTAGGACTAACAAAACATTCTGTGAGGCAAGTTCTAATATATTGATTGGAACATTGACTCATACCAGTTTAAAGATAAAATGTTTCCAGTAGTTTTGACAGCTAGATAGTCTAGAAGCTATATAATACATCAAAGAAAAGCATCCTTTAGTTAATGAATTGTACTATCACAGAGGTGAAAAAAGCCTTTCAAGTCATTTTAAATCCTCACTCCACTTGTTTTTCTAAAACTACAGTAAACAAATTATCCTTATCACAAGAGATCTGATTTTCCTGATTGGCAAACAAATGAACCAAATATAGTCAAAAGTAATGTAGTTATATTCACAGCTCCAGAAAAATCATATTTGAAGTTAACTGTGCAGGTTACTCCAAACTTTTCTAGAAACATGAGCAGCAGTTTTCTCTCTGAAGAGTCATAGAGGGTTTGATTTATAATAATTAACTCTGATAAACAAAGTTTAATTCTCTAAAAATTTTGTATTTCACTTTAAAATAATGTGAACAGATAAGCTGCCTGTTGTGAGCTAGGAATCAGATATATTTCATTTTATTTCCTTACTGACTAATCTTATTTTGATGCCAAGCTATAGAAAGAACTGGAAAGCATTTTTTTTCAGATCCATATTATGACATAGGATTTAAAGTATGTATAATTTGAAAGCATAATCAAAACCTATCCTTGAGTTCCAAAAAAACAGCAGGTTTGCCATTTCTTAGAGCTGGAGCATGCTCAGAAGCCAGTGAGGTGAATTTTTGCCAATTTGTCAAAGTAATAAATGAATTCTGGCCCTCCCGGGTGGCGCAGCGAGTTAAAGCACAGCACTAAGAAGCTAAAG